TGTATAGCACTGGAATAGTAGTAGTAATATATCTTGTACACACAATACTTTAAATGTATTTATTGAATAAATAAATGATTACTACAAAAGTAATGCTTCACTAGAATTAAAAGGAATTTAACAGACTGTTGAAGGAAAAGTACCTGATGGTTTTGAGCATTATGAAAATAATGTAGTGAGTTAAAAGGAAAGTGAGGTTGGAGTTTTCCTGCAAAAGTACAAACAGGTAAAATAAATTGGACAGCTCAGAAAAAGTCGGTCTTATACAGAGGAAATGAACATCAGATAGCTCTGGACCTGAAATGGTTCTGGTTAACGCTTGGCATATAAACGCACTAGTCCTAATAAAAAGCTGTAGACCTTGAGATGTAAGTTGAGTTTGGTTCATAGCCTTTTATTTCAGGAAAAGTATCATAATGGCCTTACTCAGAGTATTCAACATTTCCTTCATGATAGAAGCAAACCAAACTATGAAAAAAGACCAAGCATGTTGTATAAATGCACACAATTTCACAGTTCTCTAATAGTCCCAATTTGTTGTAACAAGAAAGAGATGCATAGGTAGTAAATAGAGTAAATGTAAATATGTCAGAGGAGGGCGCTATTGACTTTTTGGGCCAGATAATTCTTTGTCGTGCAGAGGCCATCTTACATATTATAGGACGTTTAGCAGCATTCCTGGCCTCTACCCACTGAATGACAGTAGTATTCCATCTACTCCTTCCCACAATGTAACAACCAAAAATGTCTCCAGATACTGTCAAATGTCCTTGGGAGGTAGATGATCCCCAGCTGAGAACCACTATTTTAGAATAAACTTTAAAGTGGCTTTGCAAAGGTAAGTTGGTACATAATATTCTTTAGTATTAAAGTAAGTACCAAGAGATCTTTATAAGAGTGATAAATTTTCTTGTTCAGAGACCTTTATGCAATAAGATTGCTATAAGGCAAAGAATCACAACTCTTTCATATGCAAAATACTTAAAAATTTCTTAATTTCCCTTGATAAAAATTTGCCTTAGGGATCTCTTATGTTATTCATGGTGAGAGTTTATGTGGATGAGAAGGATATACTGTAATGAAGAAGATAAAGGATTATATTTTATTTTGAAATATATTTTCAGTTTTATTGAAATATAATTGACATATAAGCTTGTATTATTTTAAGGTGTACCACATAATGATTTGATATACATGTATATTGCAAAATAATTACCACAATGTTCATAAAACTATTACTTCACACAGTTACAATTTTTGTGTGTGAAGAGATGAGAATTAAGACCTACTTTCTTATCAACATTCAAATATACAATATGGCATTATTAACTATAGTTGATATGCTATACACTACAAACCCAGAACTTATTAATCTTATAACTGGAAGTTAATACCTTTTAATCACCCCCACCCAAAATAACATTTTCATCTGTCAAAGAGGAAAAAGATGTGAGAGGGAGATGTGAGAGAATTAAGAGAGATAGACAGGCAGACAGACAGACAGACTCGCAGATGAGTCATGCATACAATTCAGTCACATTGCCAGATAGGTTTTACAAAGTGCAGATCAGATAAAACAAAAGGCAAGTCTTGGTCCTGGTTCCAGTTCATCCAGATGGAGGGAATTGATTTTGAAGAATAGAGGACACAGAACATACTACAGAAAGCACCAATCCCTAGTGTAGTTTAAGACAGAATAGGAAACACCAACTTACTGAAGTGTGATTAGGATCAGAGAGAAGATCAAACTGCCTAGGGTGATTTATGATTGTGTAACTGGGATAAATCACTTCTCTGAGCCTGGGTTCACTGTTCTTTACAATAGGTCAACAGCAGAGCCTTCCTTGAATGCTGTAGAAAAGAATTTGATGAGACTGCATATAGAGAACTTAGAAAATTTCTATTTTTATCAAATAGTTGATCAATGTTTACTGTTATTAGAAGATAGCAATGACAAATACATTTGATTTTATAACACACTGGTGGTCCTAACCAGTAGTTGGAAAAAATTACAAAAAGCCATTATTCATTCATTTATTCAACAATTATTTCATTGAGGCCCAAGAGTTATTCCAAGACAGAAGATAAACCAGTGAACAATATAGAGATCGTCTCTGCTCTGGTGAGTTAGCTTTCTTTCCCATAGAGGAAACATTCAGTAACACCATTTATGAAAACACCTGAGCTTTAGATGTTACAGTGTAAATTTTACAATGTATAAATGTTATAATGTTACAAGGTTACAGTTCTAGTGAAACAATAGATAGAAATGGGTAATAGGACTGTGCCTTGCTTGTTTTATGAATTGTATAAATGTTTATTGAATGACTCTTTTAGGAATAGTCATACAAAATACTTTTTGTGGACAAATCAAATTATCAAGACAACATTTTTAACCATAGATCCACATAATGTCATAAGCAATGTAAATACCTACTGTTTTACATTAAAACCATCTTGTCCACGCAATATATTATACAATATAGAACAATACAGTTAACTAATATTATTAAAGGTTAGTTTATAGTTGCTTCTCTTATTTATCAATTTGGCTATCATACATAAGTTAGATGTTACTTTTGTATAACCTTAAATTTCTTTTGTATTTCTTTGATTACAGAAGGAGTAAAGATTTTTTGTTTTGATTTGTTTATTAAAATATTTTATTTAAAGCTCTTTTCATTCACCTGCAAAACACTTAGCGATGGAAAAATGTTGTTGAATCACTGGCACTAAATGCTTTAAGAGCTTGGGCTTTCAAAATGGCCCATCAGATGGTTTCATAGTAGCTTCTTCACAGATCTTTTCTCTCTTTTTTAAAATAGCTGTTAAGGGTATAGAAAATCCATTCCACTGGATTGATATCTTAATTTTGATTCAAATCCTGAATCATTCAAATAGAACAGGAGGTGTCTTTACTTTCTAAATAAATAAAGTTTTAAAATTTTGAATAAGAAAAGAACAATATTTGTCTATTTATCTAGCTCTTGATAGTAATTGTGCTTATTTCTAAATTTGCCAGATAAGTAAAAGAAATAATAGATAAGAAAAATGTGTTTTCATATTTTAAAAATGGAATCTAAGAATATTTTTCCCTACAAATGCCTTAGAGAGGAACTATTATGCTTTTAAAATATCTGCATATTTTGTTTGCTTGCTAGTAAGTTCTAAAAAATTATTTGTAGATAAATGAATATATCTCTATTTTGTACATGATTGTGCAAAACTTCGGCATCCTATGGTGCGGTCAAGTTAACACATAAAATTAACTATCACAGACACAAAAATTAACACAAATCTTTCCCAGCATCCCACTTTTCTAATCTTTCTTCTACCATGGTTTTCTCTGGATAGGAAGCTTTCTTTTACATGTCAGGAGAAAATTAAATTTTGCTATATGTACATATGGTCAGATTTCAAAAGACTATAACCTCATTTTGCCCAAACTCATTCTGGTTCACACCTGTTACCCTGCATAATTATTAATATTTTCCCTTCACTTTAAAAAATGTTCTGCTTTGAAGACAAAAATCATATGATTATCCTAGAAATAACTGTGATAATGATAATAGATAAAAGCTAGCAGAGTGTATTTAAATCCTTTATTAAATTATTTTCTTCAACTAGTTAAAAATACGATGAATATGAGTCATATTTCTTCAGATTGATTTTTCTTCCTGGGTAATATTACACTGCAATTATTCACCATAATGTATATGGTGGAATGTCTATTTGTAACTTGGATATTGTTGTTGATTATCTTGAATGTATTTTCTTGTTTAAAGCATTGAGAAAGAATGCATTTGAAAAGTATAAATAATTTATAAACATGACATAAGGCCTTCCACAGGATCATAGATTATTATTCTATATGTAAGAAATCTGAATAATATTTTCCTGAAATAAGATAACTAACCTAAAAACTACAGTTGACTGATGCTTAATTGGCTTCAAAGTCAGGGAGTGAGTATAGCCCCAGGGTAGTTCCGTTCTCCCATCACAACTAATGGAGGGATGAGGGTAACGGTGGCTAACAGAAGAGCTCGGAGCCTAGTTTGTTTACTGGGGGGATTAGAGGAGGAGGCAATTCCGTGTTGACTGTGGGACACGCAATGGACACACAGAGCCAGGAAGGGCCAAGGCTCATAAAGAAATGAGAGTGTTTAATTTACATCGTCTCTTTTCTTTAGTTTAATTTCCATTTCTTCTATGAAATATGTGTACTTGTGTTTATTAAAGAGTATGTTATGGCATGAAGTTATAAATAAAAATGTCTTCAAGATTTCTTGAATCCTTTTCCTCTAGGGATGATTTTATTGCTAAATGGAAGAAAATAATTTTATAACAATTATGTTGTATTATAGCATATATAACTAAATAACTATTCATAATGTTCTAAATAACTATTTCAAATGACTCATTGACTCTGCTTTAGAGCAAGCAGCATGTGCTAAGTGCTGCATTACTGTGTTTTCTCAAAGATTCTGCATAATGCTTACCAGACAGTAACTGATATTGAGTTCTTTGTGGGCTCCCTCTTATGAGTGTCTGGTATTCCTGCAACAGTGGAAGTGTTGTTATTCAAATGCACATGAATGTGTTCAGTCCATAATAATAGTATTCATAGCCATCTATAAATAGTCGAAGAAACAATTGTAGGAAATGCTTGATATTCATCTGAACCACTTTTTGCAATTTCACTTTCCTATTCAGATTTCAGAAATAATACAACAGTGGTGCTCGTAAGATATTCAGATATTTTTCTTAGCTTCTCAGGGACAGGATGGTAGCTTCTTAAAATTACATACTCTGCTTCACCAAACTTAAGAAATTCCTGTCAGTAGACACAATTCTAAGAAATAGCATGGACACAAAGCATGATTAAATGTTATATATATATATATATATATATATATATATATATATATATATATATATATATATATATATATATATATATAGTTTCATATGTGTTTAATGGCCTTTTCATTTCTTTCTAGATACACCATCAGTTAAGATTATACCATCCACTCCTTTTCCACAAGAAGGACAGCCTTTAATTTTGACTTGTGAATCCAAAGGAAAACCACTGTAAGTGATTTAATGAGCAATGAAGTTTTTCGCTGTTTTATTCTGCTTGGATTGTAGGCTTTAACTGCAGAAATCCATGTTTTTGTTGTCTTTGGTGGGCAATGTGATCTCTAGAACAGAAAACCCTCTGAACTGTGTCTTCATTAAGTGCCTGGAAGATTGGTCTTTTACTTTGTCATCTAGTGAGGTTCCTGGGAAGGTTTCCAGCTGTAATTTTTTTCCCCCTCAGTAACATATTTCAACCTGAAAGGGGTGTAGGCTTAATCATTCACTGTTTACATCATCAGGATGATAGAAGTTACACATTTATAAACTTAATTCTCCCACAAAAAACTTTGAAAATATTGATGCTTCTTCAAAATATGTCCAAGTTTTTTAAGTTCTTTGGGGAATTGTTTTCATAGTAAAGTAAATCAGCTCTACATGTCTTATGTATTATAGAAGCTCCCACAAAACACAATTTGTGAATGTCATTTGCTTGGGAGTAATGTGAATGAAAGGGTGGTCACAAGCTCAGTGTTTTCAGTTGTGCAGTATTTCATTATTAGAACGTATGAGTCCTAACGTCACTTCAACTCTAAAATTATATTTTTAACACTTATGTTTATAAACAGCTAACTCATAGAAAAATTTGTTTTTATATAAAAATCAAATCAGTATGGATTATCCAAATATGGATTATTCAAAGGCTATTTGAAAGTGATTTGATCATTCTAATATAGTAACATTCTAGACCTAGCTTAAAATAATTTACTTGATTTTTAAAAAGCTTCCAATTGATTTGCATTTCTGTTTAAATTTTAATAAGAGGTATTTAATTGTTCTCTGTATATAACTATATGGAATAGCATCTGTGCAAATCAAGTTAAATTGCAAAAATATATTTCTAATGTTGTTTGTTATTTAAGTATAGACTTCATATTATTCTATGAGAAATTTTTCTAAAAGAATTTTAAGACCGTAGTTTGAAATTCCAACTTCCTAAATCTTATGGCATTATATATTTTAACACACTAAGCAAATTCTCTTTATCACAGTTTTGTATTTTAAAACTGCTTTCTTTCAGTAATTATTTTCTAGAGATGCAAATATACAGGTATAAAAAGTGTGTTGTGAATTAGTGCGTCATTTTTCTTCTAATTTTAAAAAACGCATTTAAAGCATGTTAGACCTTAAAAGGAAATTTTTTTTTCTTTTAGCTTTATGCATATATCCTGTGCAATTCACTTTAATAATTCTTAACTTTGGATAAGATTAAATTGTCTATAGAAAACATTTTTCAACTTCACTGTGCTATCTAAATATGACAGTGCATTTTCATATTAAAGCTTCAACAAGAGCTTTTGGCTACAATTTCAACACTTTAACTAGGGAAATAGGAATAATAGACCTGGTCAGCTTTAGACATCCTTAAATCCTAATTTCTTTACTCCTGATTCTGTGTACCTAATACCAGAACCTTTCCTAACTTGTCCTTCCATCTCCACTCCTGTTCCTTTAACTTATTTTCCAACTCTGTTTTCTTTTCTTCTCTTTCTCTTTTTTTGCTTCTGCTTTTGTTTGTTTGTTTGTTTGTTTCTGGTCTTCCTTATAACCTCAGGGTCAACATATAGGGACAGGAAGGGACATGATCAGAATCATGGCATAACAAAGAATTTTTGCTTTTACCTTCTTTTCATAGTTCTGCCCCAAAATATGTGTGTATATTTTTAGAGTATGTGTACAATTTATATAATTACATGAGTTGATGACAAGCAATATAACATACAGAATGCTTGGAAATAAACACATCCCTGCTCAAATAACATCCAATTACCTGTCAATGATCTACTCTTTGATTCCACACCCACAACAAACAGTAGAAACAGCATTTTACTTGTGTAAATAGATTGGGAGCTCATGTAACTAGATTTTAAAGTAATCCATTTCTATCAGCTGAGAGAGATGGTTAAATAGATGCACCTTCTTATGGGTCTCTGTTTCAGCTATCTAGAAGTAAGCTTGGACCTGGATGTGTAATAACCTCCTGCACTGCAAATGAATTAAATATGTAATAATCTCTTATTTGTTTATTTACATATCTATTTATATTTAAGAATACATAATGTTCAGAATATAGAAAATGTCTGCTATCTTTGAAGAACCCTGATTAATATCACTTTGCAAGTAGGGAAAGGTAACAAGAAAGGCTCCTTACTTTACAGAAGAGAAAACTGAAAGTCAACAATAAACCAAACTTTCCTTATTCATCCAGATTTAACATGGATGAGTCAGGATTTAAACTCAGTTCAATCATTGCCCAAAGCTTACATTCTTTCACCTATTTTCTGCCAATTCAATCGCTGAGTCTACATTGCTACCCTACAATGATATTCATCACAGAGTTGGACCTCTGGATGCTTGAAGGTGAAGAACTAGCTAGTCTGAAGACATATTTTACTCTTGCCATCCTCTTTTATCAGACTCTTTGATATTTGTCCCCTTTCTCAAAACTTGCCAAATTCCTACCAAACTGACCATTTCTAGCATGAGTTTATAGGTCTCTAATTAGTACAATATTTTCTGTCAATTAACTCATTAGCTCCATGAGGGATAAAATGGTCATTATGTTTCATCTTTATCTTTATAGCTTCCAATGTTGTATTCTGTATGCTATGGTCCAGAAGTAAATGTGTGTTCACTTATTTTCTTGTATTGTATCTTCATTTCCATCTTCTTTTTTACCAGTTTCCTTCCTCGTAGACTGCCAGGTCATTGACATTAAAGGTATAACCAACTTCAGTTCCATTAGGCAATTAGGCCACTGGTTTTCTGATGTCCTTCCTAATCATCTTAAAATCCACTCTTCTGCATTTCCAAAGCCACTATTATTCCCAACAAATGTAGTTCATTAACTTCTTTAAAGAAAGCCTAATTTCTAGCCTCTCTTTAGTTTATATTATATCTCCAACAGTGCCAGATGAGGCGGATAGGACAAAAAAACCAGGCGACGACTGAAAAGAAATCATTGGATTTTCCCAGAAGGAAATCTAACTGATCATAAAGAAAATAGTTTCACTAGAGCAGAGAGAACAGAAGGCAAATTGAAATGGATTAATCAGGGAATTAGTAGGTGGTGGGGAAGCAAAGATAATGGGAAGACCACCTGTATCAGAAAATGAATGAGGAAAAGTGGAAGAAGAAAGAAAAAATGAATTTATGTCAAACAGAAATTTTAAAATTAAAAATAAGTAAATAAAAATAAATGCAGACTGACCATATTTTAAGATGGCATAAAAAAAGTTGTTAAAGTGTGGGATTCTAAACGAATGGTGTAATACCACATATACCTAATGGACAGATACACGTTTCTTATTTTACTGCCCAATTTCTGCTCCATTACTTGAAGTTATTACACCTGATTCCCATTTTGTTATTTTGGAACCACTGAGAAGCAACACCATGGCTCAGCTTCTTACAGGCCCCCAAAATATTTCATTTCTATTCTCTTTCCATTCACCTGATCCACCTTTAATGAGCAGGTGGGAAATAAAAATGGATAATGGATACAGGATTCCTTTAGCTAACTTAAATAGTATCTTTAATCCATGACCAGATCATTGTTGTTTATTAAAAAATATCTTACCAGTTGATAATTTCCTCAAGGTTGAGTTATTCATGGTTATTAGGCACATTGCTAACAAACAAAAGAGCACCAATGATGGTGTGACTCAACTTGTGCAGAGACGGGTGGTACTCACCTGCCGCCCTGAATGCTAATGTAATTTTCCTTGTTCTAAATGTGAGGGTCCCAGTGACTGTCTGTGAACAATCACGCCTTATTTGCTGGCTTTGGATGGAACCCTTTTGCTGTTTTCCTGGGGAACAGCTGCATAACTTGGTCCAGGACCAAATTGTTCCACTTGACATTACTATAGAGGCATTCTATTCTTTCCTTAAAAGAGAGATTACTGTACATGTCTGTCTATTGTTTTAATTTTAGTTTAAAGTGAGAACCGAGCTTATGCCAGCCACTTTTCTTTCAAGTCCCCAGAGTTTTTGCAACCTTCTTCTTTCTTTGGCTGAATTCCCAGACAGCTTTCAGGCAGCAGCATTCTCCATTTATAGAAGTAGAGAGGGGGTCAGGGAATAAGCACTGTTATAGTGCATTAAAGTTATGCCCTTAAAAATGTGGGGTTGCACTCCCCCCGATGCTAAAGAATCATCAGTCATTTTAATCGAATGTTTAACATTTTTAAAATATACCTCAGAAAACAGTGGGACATTTTCAGTCAAATGTGCAATTGGCATTTATTCTATAAAAGAAAATGATTATAGGTATTGATAAATTTTTCTGTGTATCCAGAGTGATGTTTATGTTGTACTTACTATTTTACTTTCTGGTAACAACAATTTTTCTTATGTTCTTGACATTAATCTAGTGTACATAATTGCATAGATCCCTGTTCTGTACAAGAAGAAAGATTTTAATCTTTAAGAAGACAGATCACATACCATTAACAAGTACTGAGGTGTTTTAGAGCAGCAATTACACATCCATTTTCGAAATGATCAAGAACTTAAGAAGTCTAAGAACATATTGATACACTCTCCTATTAGCATAATAGAAAGTTTTTAAATGAGTTCAAATTAATGCAAAACATTTTTATATCAAGTTAGTTTTGTCAGCCTCATATGTACTGTTTTGCAAATCACGTTATTTATTAATTGTCACATAATCTAATCACAGGCAGAAGAAATGACAGAACAAACCAGGAGTTCAAGAAGGCTAGATATCATCTAGAGTGAAATATTTTAGACCAAAACAAGACAAAATATGAATTTTTGGGGAAAAAATACTGCTCTACAATAATAGCAATTGCATATGGTTTACCTAATGCATAAGAGATATAATTGCACAATCTTTGATTCTTACCTGCCATCTATGCTATACAGAGCCATCTAATTAATTACCAGGTCTTTGTTTATTTTAAGATATAAGGCCTAAGCTGTCAGGCTCT